CAAATCATCCAGAGTTCACTGTATAATTTGCTGATGCCAGGCTGGCGAAGTAAACTGATGTCAGCAGTATACTACACAAGCCCAATGGGAATGACAGGGCATTTTAAATATTCGAAACTATGTAGGACACAGTTTGAACCGCTGATGCGAAAAAGTAACTAGTTATTTATTTCATCCGTTCAGCTACAATAGAGAACGTCAATGTTTGGGAAGTGGGTTGATATTGTGGATAATTTTTTCTACGTTTGTGGGCAATTGATATTCGCCAGTCAGAAGAAAAAACCCCCTGCTCAAGCGACAAAAACATATCATCTTCCGCGTGCGAGATTGGCGACCAAGACAAGTTATGGGCCGCGGATACATGCTACGTTAAATGTACAATACCACGTTCAAAAGGATTAAATGGGAAAACACCAGCATGGACGTTTGCAGTTCGCATGAAGTGGCGAAAGCCAAGCAACCACACCAAAGACTATATGGTGAGGGACTTCCAATTCCAGAACCTCCGCCGGTATACTTACTAAATTCAAGTAACTTGAAAATTCCCATTTAGGTCTCGAGAACGAACGACCCACTGGTGAGCAAGGGTTTTCAATAATTCATCAGGTGACCATTACAAGCATTGAAAGCAATTGCGCACCAGATGGTTTTTCTAGATTCAGCCGATGGAGACAAGGGTGAGTCGACTTGTTCCTATGCTGATTCCTTAATAAAAAATACAAATACTAATGTGTCAGCTGTACGCCGTAACGGCGCTTAGCTGCCGCACGACCAACATCAACGGCGCGCAGGCTGAGTATACCGCGAGAACGCCCACCCCTACGCGGATTCGAACCGGGGACCTTATGGTTGCAAACCAGGCACGCAGATCTGGATTTTGATTATGGTATATCATAAAGCCCATAAAGAAGGAACTAAATTGCTGCGGGCCCGTCAAATATCCCCGCGAAAACGCGCCAGAAACTCCGGCATTATGGCTGTGGAAAACGGGGGCCAATTCCTCCTCACAACGTAGCAGTGTTCAGTCACTTCGAGACGCGGCCCAACTGCAGACCTGTTGACAAGGTTCTTTTACAAACTACCACCCCGTCGTAGTAGCAATTTTCCCTAACTTAATGACCCATTGCATTGGCTGTGATTCGCCCTTTGTTGGTCGTAAAAGAGCCTCTAGAGGACCACCTGTCTTGCTTCCTCTTCGCCCGTTGGGAGCCGGTCGGTCACGTGATTTTGTGTGCGTCGTTAGCCGGGCAGCGTTCGCGCCCAAGTCACTAGCGCGCGTCTACCGTAACCCCCTCTCGCGTGCGTACCCTCGTCCGTTACGAGGGCTCAGCGTCCATCCGAATACGTGCGGCTAAGATCGTTCTCACGCTCGCTCCATTCCCGTCTCACCAGCGCGTACCCCGGGCTAAGCTAACGCCATCAGGTCAGCGCAAATCCGTTAGAGTGGCCAGCCTTCCAACCCGTTCTCGTAGGTGTGCTCATATCTACGCAATTACAACATAAATGATTTTGCTCATGACGGGTTTATCCAAGAGAGAATTGGTAGATTCAAGACTACAACAAATGTATCTTATAGAAGTGGATGTCCTAATTAATACATATCAAAAGTGCCGGCAGTTGGAACCTTACTTCCGAAAGGACTGTAAGCTGGTACTTTGTTCTGGTGTTTATGCCACTGTGAATGCCTTAAATATAACTGATTACACAGAAGAGTAGAGGCTAGTTGTAAACTCCTCGAAACTTTATCTTAAGCCGGTGCTGTTGCACAATAGAAACCATATATCATTCACTTCAGTAAAGCATTCTGTTCACGTGAGAAAAACGCACGAAAAATTAAAACAGCTGTTGAATCCCATTAAGTAACAGGTACAGCTGGTATCACTATGGTAATTTGAAGATAGTTGACATTTTAATGTGACTGTAGCAAGGATATGGCTGTTTCCTGATCGAATGGAAAAGTCGAGTAAGGGATCTGCACCACTTGCATATGCAATGGACTGAGGGATAAAATGCAACAGCTCTGGTTGAAACTCACAAAATCTTGCCATCAAGCCTACATATCAAACTAGGTTTGGTGCAGAAGTTACCGTAAGTCATGGACCGAACTTCACCGGCGTTCCGATACTCAAAAGAATAATTTCCTCAATTCAGCAGAGCACAGATGAAAGTTGTTGCGGGTCCTCAGAGTCTATAGATATTCAAAGATGACCACTTCAAAAACATAAAGCAGACTGATGTGAAGCAAGCTTGAAATTCTCTTCCCCCGGTGTCTGCTCACTTTTTGAGCAATGTTAGAGTACAAAATGATAAGGAACTCGTAGAAAACATGCTGAAACAGTAGCAGAAACGTGGGACCTACATGTTCCTAGGGAGTCACTTTTCTCAATCAGATCTGGATTTCTTCCCTGACAACTGTTGTATGGTTAGTGCTGAACATTTATCAATATATCCCCACAATGGAACATTGACACCAAAAAATGGTTCACCGCTAATGCCGTACCTGCGCAACGGATGATACCGAACAAATATACAGGAGACAAACAAAGAAATCTTAGTAGTCTTGGATGTCATATTTCTATGAAGATTAGCAATATTACATGAAGACCATCGTCATCTATTTGATAAAGTAAGCATTTATAGTCAATTACAAAGATATTGGGACCAACATTGTATCTTGATTGTCATATTAGTGTTTAGTAGATAAAAGTTGTCAGATTTGATTTCAGGAACGACGTTTTTAATTTTGTTGTCCCGTGTCACCGATCTAATCACCACACTCCCATAATAGCTAGACTCACTGAAAAATTAATTAAAAGAGTAGTGATGTGCTTTATCAATCGGCTTGGACTGCCTAACAAATCCCAGCATTAAATTCCTCGTTAGACGTACATGTACAACTTGTCAGTTGCACTACCTAGATTGCATATTACAGAATCCATTGACTACAGCTATGTGGCGATAATTTTGTTCATGGATATGCAAAACGCATTTGAACGGGCGCCTTACAAGCGGGTACCGACAAATTGAGTACTTTGGGATTCGGAGCCCACTATTAGGCTGGATGGCTTTGTACCTGAATGGGCGTTTTCGTTTGTATTCCGTTTTTGTATTGCGGCACAGTAGCTGAGGTGTTCCCCACCTCTAGCTAACGTGTATGATGAGGATGATGATGACACTGAGTGATCATTAACCTATGCAACGTCCAATCACAAGGGATGTTATCCAAGGAGGCGTACTTGGTTCATAGCTTCTCCTATTCGCAATATGTACATTACACATGACAGTTCATCTTTATTTACCGACGACATCAAGATTGGTTATAATTTCTGACGAAGTGTACTCAAGAGGACAAGGTTATTCATTCAGGAAGACATCAATTCACTTGACAAATGGTTAATTTCTCAACCGTTATGTCCTGCGGATGTCCAATCACTGATGAACGCTCACGTACGAAACGGTCTGTGACTTGGAAATACAAGATTCATTTAACTTCAACTTCTCAGAGTAGGCCGATTACCAAACGACGCATGTCTGATAATCTATGACCAACCTATAAAACAAAATACTCAGATGACGCTCATTCACAATCTGACAAATCGGCGGACATACTGCGAACTGTCCACCTTCGGATTGCAACATAACTTCACCCCCAGATTTCGCAACAAGACTTGCGAACTAATTGCGCGAATATCAAGGACAGCTATTCGTTCAAACTTTTTCCTGTGAATAAGCTACCACAAAACAACAGGTCTGGGACAAATGCAAGAGCATTAAACTTGGAAATTACCTTGATGACAACTCTATAACAGTTATGTCTTCCTCAGGAAAATCGAAAAATTAATTTTTCTAAGGTGAAAAAAATTATTACACAAAAACCCTACGCCAACATAAGGCGTAGAAATACAGGCATTGCAGAATCCTTAACATAATCATGCAAGAGCATGACCGTAAGTGTAGTACAGGATCTGCCACAATTACAGTAACAGCCCGTCGCACACCAGAGAAATAGACATTAGTAGTATGGACCAACTGCTCTCGGTTGTTTTGACATGTACTTTACGATTGACAGCCCTGTGTATGCATATTTAGTACCCCATATATGATCCGTCAAGAGGGATTTGTTGGCAACCAATAAATTTTATATGCTTACTTAGTGAAGAGTCATGTCACCATATCTATATGCAACATCCGATTTATTTTACTTGACATCGTCGTCTCAAGTGATTGGCTGTTGGCTGATATCCCCGGTGTGGCTGCGCTTGATGTGCATATTGACAAAGTGCCTACCTGTCTATTACCCACCACCTTGTCCATACTGGCTCTCGGAGACAGTTGGGCGTTACTGGAGGGGACGGGGTACACGGTCCTTGTGGTCGTGCTAGGTTCGAAGAGTGGTTCCATGCAATCAGTTTGGAGCGGACTACGGTCCAGCCACAGCCTAATGTGTGATTGATTCCCAAATACAGTTTGCTTGTTTTGCCTGTGAAGGAGTGTGGGCCGGCACCGTTGATGAAACGTGGCTCCCATCCACATGCCTCCCGGTCTTATTCCTTCGGGTTTACACTGGATATGGGGTGTGTGGGTGGAGCTGTGGGTGGTGCAGCACAAGCCATACATGGTCCCTCTGTGGGCGCATGTGTCCTGTGGCTGGCCACATTGACAGGCAAATCCGAAACCGGATGCCGCCAACCATATGATCCGTCAGATAAACAAGTCATCATCATTACGCACGTTAGCTAGACGTGGGAAACCCCTCAGCTATTGTGCCGCAGAGATTAGCAAGTAATTGATTCACAATACAGCAGGCACAAATGTACAAATGTGCGAGTTTGAGAAATGTTCATTTAAAACGAATCCACGCATGTGTAACTGGTTGTTTTTGATCGACAGAACAGTAGGTTAGTCACCCAGAGAGAGCTAGATAGGAATACACTGGAACTTCGGTGCAAACGAGGCTAAGGACTTATAAAATGCCAAAGGCGGATATGAAAACTACTCACTTTGAGTTCGGTACCGGCGGACGAAGTAGAAGGATATACGGTAGAGGAGAGCACAATGCAGTGGTAGAATTCGAACGACTTGGCTCTGGTTGAAGACTTGGAGGGGCGAAGAAATTTGTTCTGAGCTCAAAGGCCGTACGACTGGGTTGGGTGGACGCACCGCAAGCAGGTGTCATGATCATAGATTCGCTTGTGGGTGAAAGGTGCTGGGTTGGACTGGAAGAAGGTTTCACGGGAGTAGAAGGATTCCTATGAGTACGTACAATAACAGCCACAGAGTGGGCGCGACGACGATTTCGTTGCGGGTATCCTTCGGGGTCTGAGTCAACCGAATTATGACTGAGCCTAATGAATGCGACATAGAACACAGAACTGTGCGTGAGAACAAAAGATGAAAGCCAACAGAGAGTGAACAAAGGTATGTAGATGATCTGGGTAGTCAAGAGGCCATTGTATTTTTTTGACTAGGACGGGATCACGAGAATATCTAGTGCATTAATAAGTAAAGTTTCAGAGCACAAGTCCTCATTCCAGAAATGTTAAACGGTGAATCTTTATGAACTCAGTGAGGAACACATTAGAGGTGATGGTAGTTGGAAGGTCAAGCGAGCAAAACCGACGCGCGGCCAGTGCACTGGACGGACAATCAGCGCCACCAGCGCAAGCTGAATACATTCGCACCGCCCGGATGAACACCTAAGAATTGGTAAGCGTATTGTGAACAAAGCGCAACTTTGTTCCAGTCAGGATAGAAGTGGTCCAAACAGCTACGAATGGACGACGAGAGCGAGCAAATGAACACAGGCAGATGGATGACAAAAACCAATCATTGAAAGTGTGTTTCAGTAAAAAAGTGATTCTAATTTACGTACTCATGAGTAGAGGTTTTTGATGTAATTAATCGAGAGTTTGTCGTAACAGCTTTTAACTCAGCGAGTCCTTCACATGCTCGGTAAAGCACCCGACTGCAATTTCAACCTGCTGGGTATCACATTAGTGGTGACATCCATCGGATCCATCAGGATTCGAACCCAAGACAGCCAGCGGTTTGCAACACCAGCCAACAGGTTATAGTACCGAGCCACGGGGGACAACAGCGGATGGTTATGATTTACAGGCTAACTGCGATATAACGCGTCTTATGCTCTACTGTCATGTAAATTACGACAGTTGCAGAGGATTAACCCCGAAAGACATGACGAGGCCCAATAGGTCGAAACTGCAATCTGGTGATTTTCAGGACATGTGGAGGACTAGCTGATTTAAAAGTTGCTGTGACGAACTTTCAGATTTATGCAAAATAACAGACTTTTGGACCATTACCCAGCCTTCGTTTTAGTTCTCGGAGAGCCATCTCGATATCAAGTGCACAAAGCAACAGTTTGAGTGAGCTGTTCAGCCACAAACGCAACTACATAGATGGAGCATCTAGGGAAGCCGTCAAACAGTCATTTGGATGCATTCTAGGTGTTCAGAACAATGGGAAGCTGATTGCCTCAGTTGTCTACGCGCTTTCAACACCATTTGATCCCTTTGACTGGTAGTACTTCGCGGAGCGCTATCAATAACGGTTCTCTGTCACCTACTAGCGCCATTTTCAGCTAAGTTCGGTTTGAAGAAGCTTTTGTGTCAAAAGGGAAACGTTGTCCACAAACTATACCAATCGGTTATTCTCAGACCGTTATGAAATCATAAGTTCTGAGATGCTTGTTGTCCGATGGACACCACGTGAAGCGATATGAACGCCTGTAATGGACGGATCTGACGTAGACACACATTTGCAGTAAGAACTCCAAAAATAGGGACAGTCATCATAAGTACCGTACCTGTTGACCACAAAACGACATTGTGCGTTGATCAGACTTAGATTGACAACCAGCCTGAGCAGGAACGTCACTCGAAATGGCTGCTATATCCACACGTTTAGCCATTTTAACGAGATTATAGTGCTACTCCAAACAAATGACTTCTGATGGTTTCTTGGCCCCAGTACACGAAGACGGTAAAAAGACACTTTGGCTTTGGTTGCGTTCCACTAGTTCCAATGAAACTCGGGAAGAAAATCGCACAAATGCGGCCATTTACCGAGACCTATTCGATCCCAGAACCCGGCGCACGTCTGCCGTGAGTAACTCCTGGACGATGTAAACAATTGGATCCATGGATAACCTGAAGTCCACGGTTGGGAGGGCAAAGTATGCAAGTTCGATCACTGGTAAACGAAATCAGCGGGGTCAAACGCAGTAATACGATGCTGTCTTGTAAAATGCTCCGAAAACTACAAATATATCCCAGGAGAATGTAAAGTTGTAGGCGCTGTTTAGTTAACAACCTACCACAAAGTAGGGACGTTGAAATCTACAGCGTGAAATGGTGCCACAAATTCGAAAAAGTGGCAAAATAAGTTAGAAGTGATTTCTTGCCGGCCACTCTGAGAAGAAGAGTGATTGGGCATAGAAAAGGACCTGCATGACGGGCCATGTAGGTTGATGAAACCGGTTGCGAACCCGAGAGATGTAAGAATAAACATGAGAGTGGGGAGACACGGAAAAGTAAGACAATCTACACTAGGGAAACAGAGAGCAAAAGCAAACATATTTTGAAAAGAAAGGAGCAAAAATGAAGAAAATCGGGCAATCTGAAAAATTTGCGTACTCATGCAGAAAAAAGAAAAAGAGGGAAGATATGTGTCAGAGGTGCATATCTATAATTGCGCGTCCTAGTCAGACCAGCTTTTCGGTTGATTTTATAAGCTTCTCGGTCATTCCGCGGCTTCATTCGAATATGCGCAATAATGGCAGAATATATAAAGTATGCAAACTGGCCGAGAGGCATACAAATGGCGTGATTTAGTCGGTGAAAGCGTTTCAGACTCGACGTACTGTACCGTGTAGCGGTTGTCTCTATGCTTAACTCGGATTAGTGGATCAAAGCATCGCTCATTCGGCGACCCTTAGGATGATGAGGTGCAGGTACCAGTGTCCAGAGATGGTCACCTGATAAATGAGGTCAGCCCGGCGAGGTCATGTCTCGGAAATATGCGGTAACACTAAATGATGAAAATAACAGGTTGATGTATGAACGTCACGTAAGACCAATGAAATAAGGAAGGTAAAGCAAAGTCATTGTCAATCAATCAGGTGGGCACCTGCGTTCACGACCAATATTCAAGTGCATGCGTGACACCCCTCTCTTCCCTGGAAATAACTGCAGACCCCGGGTTTATACCGAATAACTGGCTTAGGTGTGCATTTTGAGCGTCTTAATTGGGGTTGTTCTGCATCCGTTTGCGGTTCCTGGTTTTCTGAGGCAGATTCCCCATCTGATTGTGCATCAGTAGCAGTCGATCTTTGATCCCGCTCAAGGGGTTCGATTGAGCATGGCAGAACATAGTCAGTGTGGCGGCGCACCACACGGCTGTCCTCCAGCTGTAGCTCCGTTTGATTACTCATTGAGGACATATGTGTAGCAGGTTGCCAGCTTGCTTCGCAAAACAGTCTTGTGTATACCGGATCAAAATCATCGAGACATATTTCCTCTGGCACCTTGTCAGCCCTATACATCCTCCTGCTTTGCGTACATTCCCCTTCGAGCGTTCGGAGAAAGTAGGTGCAGTCTCGTTCGTAGCGGCCGACCAAAGATTAACTCCGCGGGTGACTTTCCTATCGACTAAATCGGTGCCGTGCAGTAAGAGAACAGGAGACGGTCCAACTTAGTTTGTAAAGTGCCATGAGCCTGCTTGAGACCTTGCTTAACAGTCTGAACTGCAGGTTCTGCCAGTCCATTTGACGCGGGATGGTACGGCGCAGACTTAATGTGCTGTACTCCGTTGTTAATCAGGAACTGCTGAAACTCCTCATTGGTAAATGGTATCCCGTTGTCGGTGCATACGGTTTCTGGGATATTGAAGATGGCGAATGTGGAGCGCATTTACGCCACTGTTGCTGTGGAAGTCGCATGTGGAACTGGATGCACTCCTATCCATTAAGAGTGGGTATCAATCAAAAGTAGCCACATCATTCCAGTGATCAGGTGAAAGTAGTCCGCGTGTACCCGATACCAAGGCCTCTCCGGCCAACACCATAGATGTATCGATCCAAAAGATTTGCGTCTGGTTAGTATCTAACGAAGGGCGGATGAACAATCTTGCTGGCCACCGGTTTCTGTGTGGACTGCTACAGAGCAAAAAGAAGGCGAATGAGTCACTTGACTGTCAACGGTCTTCGCATTCTGTTACATGCATGAATAGCCCCATTGTCATGCGGGTCCGGTCTTTACGACCAAAGATTCGGGGTATGTCCCTTAGGTCAACCCTTTTCCTCGGCCTGGGCAACCGGAAAGCTCACTGCCCTCGCAACACATGAAACTACATAAGCTTTTCCCTGACTACCACACTTCCCCCTTGTTGTTATTATTCATGCGTTGCGGAAATGTTAATAGTTTACTGATCACGTGTTGTATATATGTATATATATATATATATATATATATATATATATATATATATATATATATATATATATATATATATATATATATATATATATATATATATATATATATATATATATATATATATATGACTTCGGTATTTCTGGCGCAGTCCGCAATTTTCAGCAGCCGTTCGGTTCGGCCACCAACGGTAACCACGTGCCAGTGCTTTCATCCTGTTCACGCCAGGGCGTACGTCATGCAGCTGTCTCAGCAACTGGGACCGGAGTTCGTCCGGTGGAACGATGCGCGAGCCTCGAAATATAAAGCCGTCGTAGAAAGTTAACTCATTATTTCGACAGGCGAATGGTCTGTTTGTCTGACGTGCTTTTAGGCCATCCGTAGGTTAAGAACCGCTTCACCATCGACCAAACTGGGTCCCGGCACGTCAGGCGACGCAGCACCTCACTCCGGATGGGTGCTTTTTCAAGGTGTTCCATCAGTTTGACAAACTCCATGGGTTTGCTATTTGGTTACGTGCCATGCTGCTGCGGGAAGCGACTAAGTGCAGCGGCAATAGTATTACGGTCCGTTTGCATACTGAAGCTTGTAGTTAGAGGTGCTCAAAAGTAGTGCCTACCTTAGAATTCGAAGCGAAGACATCTGCTGGATTCCTTTCTCACCATCCAGAAGCGAAATAAGTGCTTTATGGACTGTGGATATCGAACTGTCTTCCCCAGACGTACTGGTAGAAATGCTTAACTCCAAAAATACTCGCTAAGGCCTCTCAGTCCAGTTGAGGCTAATTCCTTTCAGCGGATTGCAGGATGAGAGAAGTAAAAGCGGTTGGACTGAAGGAACCGTCATCAGTCCGGTGGGAAAGGACAGTGCCTACACCGCGTGGGGAAGCATCACATTGAAGCCCCAGAGGTCGGCTCGGATCGAAATGCGCGAGATATGGGGAGGCGCTGAGCTGTCTTTTTGATCTGGACCCCAAATCCAGGACTTCCCCTTGTGCAACAGTTCGTATAAGGGTGCAAATACTGTTGAGACGTTAGGTAAGAAGCGACCATAGTGATAACACATTCCCACAAATGATTGAAACTTAGCCTCGTGCTTGGGTTCAGGTGCGACAAGGATGGGCTTGAATTTGTCTTCTAACATGTGTAATCCGTTTTTATCGAGGCGGTAACACAAGTAACGAACGGAACCTGAGAAAAATGTACTCTTAGACTACTTCAGTTTAAGCCCATTCAGCTGTAGAGGTTCGAGCACAGTGGATAGCGTTGGTAAATGTTAAACATCTGTGCGTCCTGTAACCAAGTGAAGGGAACATCTTTGATCAGGTTGTCAACGTTCCTTCGGAATATCGCCCGGGTTGAACTGATTCCGAAAAGCAGACGTTTGTACTGGAATAGACCCACGTGGGTACTTATCGTAGTGTATGAGCGAGGTCTCGTCTAACTTAATTTGTAAGTACGTGTGAGTGAGGTCGATCTGCATGAAGTATTGTCCGCCTGCTAGCGTAACATAAAGATCCTCTATCCGAGGTAGGGGAGAATTATGGAGAATTAAACGATTAACAGTCAGTATAGTCAGCGCAAATACTTACAGAATCATCCGACTTCAGGACTGGAACTATTGGAGCTCCCCATTTATTGTATTCGACTGGCTCCATTGTTCCCGCTGATTGCAATCTCTATCGCGTCTTTCATCTATGACCATAGGGAATAAGGTAGAGTACACGCGTTGAAGAAGCGGGGCTGAGTCGCCGGTCGTATATATTATTCAACACTTGACCAATATACAATTGGCAGTGCCACAACACATGGTAACAACAACAGAAATGGGAAAACTGATAGACAGTGGAAGGGTTTAGGAGGTTTAGAGTATTCACGTGTTGTGCGGGCAGAGATCTTCCCGGTTGCCCAGGCCGAGGAAGATGGCTGACATAAGGCATTCCACCCCGAGCCTTTGGCCGTAATTTGATATTAGCCTGATATCCGTTTAGTTTTCACAGTTTATCGTCAAGAAGGTCAGAATGTTTTCGCTGTGCACATCCTCCAAGCGTTGATTAATGCACATGAACATCACTGTCTCTAGCGTAGCCGGGAGGCATTTAATCCAGTCGCGCCCGGGTAAGTTCCGACAAGTAATTGCCACAATGTATGCCTGTAAGGTCCGCTTTTTCCATGATAATTAACGTGAACAGTGCTTTCCCAAGACTGTTATCGGTTGTCCGGGGTACGTCCGCAAAGTTGATTCACAAGGGGATAACTTAGGTAATCGTTTGATAGATGTAGCACTGATTTTGTTAACTGAGGCATAGTCATCAACTTCTATTTTAATCAAATAACATTCTATTTCCAGTTGCACAGCGTAAGGTGGATGAATGCTACTGATGCTCAACGTTGCGTTCCAAATGGTGTTTAGCTGGTCATCTTCGTCTGAAGGTTAAACTATCTTAACGGGTCACTTTGGAAATCGTGATGTTATAGCTGTGCCAGCTTTAGATCAGCAAACTTGGTCTAAGTGCCTTAATTTTCCACATTGGCGGCAGAGACTCTGTTTATGATGACATTCCTGGACCGATACATACTGATCTCCACATCAATAACAGGTAAAAGGCAATTCGGACCGTCTCGAGGTAGTATATTTTCGGTCGATTGCTTGGATTGTGCCTGTATGAGATTGTTGGAAAAAAGCTACTAACTGTTCATGGACATCCTGCAGCTGCCGAAAAATAATACAACCCGTCTCTCAACTCATCGTCGCCTCTTCCTCTAATAACAACCTTTCACGATCCTGTTCGTTACGGATACCGGATAACATACACTACACAGCCATAGCTTCTTCGAACATCGTGACTGGAATTCTACTATACCGACACTCTGGTAGGACTTGCTGAATCTTCGCAAGGAAATCAATGACACTTTCTTCAGGGTGTTGACGCAAGGTCGAGAAGGAATACCACGTAGTGTATAGGTTCAGTCGTGAGCCCCACAACCTTCTGAAGACTGCTAAAGTGCTGTTAAGTGTCGCCTTTTCACCAACGTGGAGGGCGTCAAAATGTCTTTGGCTTTCATCCACCAGGCATCGTCGCAGTAAGTTAATTTTGTAGCTCTCTGAGAGTACCGTATGTTGTTGCAAAATGGGTAACAACTCCAAATAATTCAAAAGTGTGCGCTTCCAGCTAGCTGGTGTAAGTTTCTCAGAAGGAATACTCCAAAGTAGTGTAAGTAGATGCAACATCGTGGTAATGTAATCTTGCCGTCAGAATGTTAAGTATGGACCGTAGTCCGATGAACGAAGCAGAATGCGCAGGCGTAGTGCGGAACCGTTTAATAAAAACTTCCTGTCAGAGTGGTTAGAAATACCGAAACGGATAACTAATGAAATAAGGAAAGTAAAGCAATTATGTGTGTATCTGTGCTCACGATCAATACTCAGGTGCATATGTGACACTTCCCAATTTGAAATCAGCTTGGCCTTTACTAAGGAACCTGCGATTCTCCGGAATCGGATCGAGGTACGCAAGTTGGAAAGCTGCAGCAATGGTGATATGCCGGTAACTTTATCGCTACGACTTTGTTGAGGTAATTTGGCTGATGATTTTAAATATGAAAGCAGTCTTCCCAAACTGAATATAGTTTATGAGAGATAATAATGGATAAATTAATAATTATGCATTACTTCAATAAGCAATTATTTAAGATTTCCATTCTTTTCCCGCAGGTCAGGATAATTGGCTTTCGATTTAAGAAACCAGACTGAGCCGGGATCCTGCTGTTACTGTGCGGAGGGGGAACGTGATAGCCTTGAAGCCACACTCAAAGTAGGAAATGACGATTGGCAAGCTAAAGTCCAAGGATAACCCGGTAGACCGGAAGAAACAGAGGTGGTCGAGTTCCAGTGGCAACGAGTGAGGGTCATTAGAGCCAAACTGATTATTCCACTTCAGTGGCACCACTTCGAGTCAGATGTTATCAGTGGTTAGATATGATGTCAAAGTTGCAACATGTGGTAGCGACATATCGGATTGAGTGAACTACATTTAGATAGTATGTGCCTAGCGTTCAAGTCAACAGGCCAGTTTTCTAAATGGCCAGAGCCGATACGAACGTCGTGCAGTAGGTAAAATGAAACAGTACTCCTTTGTTCGGCTACGCAACATCAACCATCAACATTCCAGGTTACATGCTATTTCAGAGAGTACCTGATTACCGACCAATCATGTTTCACAACGTAATCAAACTGACTGACGCCAAGATAAGTGGTCGAGTGGAACAACCGGCATGTATGTGTTGGAATGCTGTGGCATGGAGAGAAGATTGGAAACTAACGAAAAGTGCCTCGAATGAGCGATTGTGACGACGGTTGAGAGAAACAAACGCGCAGGTGGATAAAAAACAATGCGCGAAACAGTGAGGTGCTGAGACTTAAGTTTTACGCGGTTAGCTTATATTGCGAAATTGGCTGAAAAACACCCCCACTCGCTTTTGGAGTTACCTGACGTTGAGAAAGTCATAGTAATAGAATTGCATTCCGAGAGTGATCGTATACAAGCCAAGTTTTTGGCATCAGATAAAGAAAAAAGAGCTTTAGCGAGTGAGCGTGGTTACGTTTCTTAATGCGTAAAGTAGGGCTCACCCTGCAAATGAGCCGAACAAGACTGTTGATTTCAAAGGGGCCGGTGAGCGATACATCCGTCGCGGGTGGCTATCCTTTGGACGAGTGAAGACATCCCAAATGGGTTCATCGAAGACCCAATCTGCGTCGCATGTCTGCATGAACAACTGGTGCAAGTCTTTCAGGAACGCCATTTGTTCCGAGTGACCAACATACATCTCCATACAATGTGTTATCATGTCAGCAGCCAGGGTGGTCACGAATCGGGATTGAAGTGAATCATCTGGATAAGAGGAAGGATCTCCGGGCCGTTCAGTGTCCACACGACCAAGCGAATTGAAATCCTCAAGGATCTCTGAGGCCTGTGCTTGGAAGGGCTCGTCATCTAACAGACCTCCGTCTTGTATCGCTCCAAAAAGGTCCGTGAATGAGAAATGATGGTTTGCGGGAGGTATTGGGGGCTGCGATGGAGGAAAGCTAAGATTGCGATGGATAGGAACCTGAAACAAGACACGGAAGCGGAAAAACAACTAGGAAATATACACCGGAGCAACGGGTGTGTTGCTAGTGGTATTTACGACCCAGATAAGTGCCGTGAAACTTCGTCGGATTGACTATAACTGTAGGTCTACTGTGGAGAGCAACAGGCAAATCGATCGATTGCCAGAGGAACAAGAACATTCTAGGGACGTTGGGACGAGACAATGTGTCGCGATCATCTACATTTGGCTACAGTGAGGTAAGCAAGCAAAAGAAATCGTACAAGTACATACGCAAGTCGACAGACAAAGAGAGGATCAAGTCTCAAAGAGTACACATATAAATCGTGCATAACGCAATTGGGAATAGGAGGGATTCGTCAAGTCTAGAAAAAAAACAAAAGAAAGGTAGTAATGTGGACAAGTTGCGGGGAGGCGAATCTACCTTGGTGAAAGAACTAAAACGTTGGAAATTCCAAATGGTCCACTTAAAAAGAATATCATAAAGCCCATAGACAGATGGAAACAACAGACTCCTTATGAAAATGAAATGCGGTGATTTTGGTCAGGGTATGCAAAACGATCAAACAGAGTGCGGAATCAAGTTACCGTAGGAGAAACATAGTCATGAACAGCAGGATGTGGTGAGTTGAAGCGCAAAGCCAAAGAATTGAGAGCTATACCAGGCAATCTGAGTGATTAGAAAAACCATACCGGCGAGGAACAAGGCTCACACATTCAAACGAACAACTGGTGCCACCAGATAGATCCGGCACGCCAGTATGACCAAAGGAAGAACGAGGACACAGAATGTGAGCAAGAAATATCGAGTACCAGTCACAAGAGTGAAAAAAAGTTGAGTGGTATGTGTAAACAAGTGAATGGTTAGAAATGTGCGCCCATTTGGGTAGAAACAGTAGACAAAGCGCTAAGAGTGCAGATTTAACGAGAAGCACACAGTGGTATCAGCTAGGAGAAGAAACATTGTGAATCGTATCCATCTATTGGATATCGATGCGCAGAGAAACCACTGGTGGGACACCCAGTAAGGGAGGCAGTGTGGGACATTGGAGTAGTTCCGCGGTTCGTCTACACAAGTGTTTGCGGAGAAGAGAAACTGACAATCAGACCAGTTGTTTGGTTATTAATCCAAGTGAGTTAGACGATGAAGAAAAAGGCACACGTTGGGAGATAAAAAGACAGAACTCAGAGAATTAGCATGTTCAGCATCGTTCACTGGTGTGAAATAGGATTGAGGTGATCGCTACCCATCCACATCGTTTCCTAATTGATCTGTAAAGTTATGGGTAGCAAAAATTTTCATAATGAATTTAAATGATCTTTGAATCCGAAATCCGTTTTCCTCTGCATACTCTAGTTTACATGCATTTTGATAATTTACATATATAGACAAATATATATACAAACCCACTTCGTTTCATTTATGACTATTACACACTCGAGTAAACACAAGTGTTCCAATGAACCTCGGGCAGTTTGCTATATATATAGTTGTCATACATTAGTTCGTCAAAGAAAGCTCACACCGATGTAAAATTTATGTATAATGCATACTTTGGAATATTATTTGGTGCTTAAAACAAAAAAGCAGCGCCCCACACACTGTGTCATTAGTGGGAGGAAATGCTTCGTGACTGGACAAAAGCCAAGCGTAAAGGTCTGTTACTTGCAGTTCCCATAGCTTGGAGAATACTGTATGTCGGATCAAGTATAAATATAAATATGTACAACGCCATCGTAACACAGTCAAAAATGCTATAAAAACTGTCTGTACTCCGTGAAAATCGAATCGTTAGACAAGGGCTTAGGTAGCATTTTAGAATGTCTGACTTATAGTTTCATAGGGTTCACAAATGCAAGATGTCATTGCTAGTGTGTAGTCGTTCGAATGGGGTTGAAATGTAAATCCAATAACGTTTTGAACTGTTGTGCAGATGTAGCTTCCACGACTTGTTTTTCCTGACTGTCCAAACATTTACCACTCTCTGTTCGAAGCACATGGGGTGCGGTAATCGCTTTACATCCGGCAGCACAAGCTTGTACCGGTGTCCGCGTGTGTTGCATGGCGTTCGCAAATGAAGCAGCGGCTTCAACATGGGGAAGTCACCGAGATGTAATATACGGTAGGTCATGATGAGATCGACTCGCACCCGACAATAGGACAAGGTGTAGAGTTCGAGTTTCTCGCACCGGTCTTCGTACGATAATTCCCGTCAACCTGGAATGAGCCTGGTAGCGACGTGTTGGACCCGTTCGATCTTCTGTGCCTCGCCTCGGGTGATTGGGCAGTAGGCAGGTGAGCCGTACTCCAGTATTGGTCTTATGATGGAAGAGAAGAGGCGAGTGGCGACCTCTTCAGACCAAGTACAGAAGCTGCGTTTGATCGCCCAAAGCATGCGCAGTCCGTTACGATATAGTCTGGTTGTATTGTCAACAGACTTCAAATCGCAGCGCGAGATCATACCTAGGTCCTTCACGGAAGTTGTGGGATGTAGCGGTTGGTCGTCAAAGGCGTAAACTCGGCCATCACCACCCATCTCCAGGCTCATAAATACCGACTTGGATGGGTTGACCGGGAGGTGGACTTCCGCAGACCACATGGAGAGGCGGTTGAGGTCGTGCTGAAGTAGGCTGCAATCGTCTGGGGTGCTAACCACTCTCCAAATCATCAGGTCGTCCGCAAACAGGGCACATAGCGACCGAGCCAGATGAGGTACATGTGGATTAAGAACAGAGTGGGCCCTAGCACCGTGCCTTGGGGTACTCCACTAGTAGAGGCATACCAGTCAGTTAGATGGCCGACTTTCGCACAAAGAGAAAGTCCTGGATCCACTGGTGCAGTGATCCACAAAACCGCACATCCTCAGCTTGTGGAGGAGGACCTCATAGTTTAACCTGTTGAATGCCTTACTGAAATCGATGTAGATTACGTCGACAGAGTTCTCTTGATTTACTACCTGCAACCATTTGTACCTCGCCATCAGCAGGATGGTAATACATGAGCGGCCTGGCGTAAAACCGTGCGGTGCGGGCGTCAGTAGATATAGTGAATGAAGCAGTTGTAGTAGATCTTCACGATAACCTTGGCCGAAATAGGTGTCAGACAAATCGCCCTGTAGTTGTCCACTTTGCTGGGGTCACCGCCTTTCGGAATCAGCTTAATCACTGAACACTTCCAGTAAGACGGCAATGAACCTCTGGATAGTGGTCGGTTGAGCAAATCTGTCACAGCAAGTAAGATGATGGCCAAAAGCGACTTGAGAATCAGAGAGTGGAGTCTGTCAGAGCCAGCAGGTTTGTTGCTGTCAAGATTGGTGATTATTTGATGCACCAGACTGCCGAGTTCGGTAAGCGCGGTATACATCGAACTCGGCACAGACACCTGGTCATTTGCAAACACGGAAGCTAAGTGCGCCGACAAGGAGGACGCACGTTCAGGGCTAGAGGCTGTCCGTCCGAGTCCTCTAGCACTGGCAGATCACCTGCTGGCTTGAGACGTCGCTTCAAGTAAGCAAGTATTCTTTTCGGAACTGTCTTTGTGGCGATTGCGAGTTGCTTTTCGAAATGCCGGCGCTTGCTCGTTTTTGCACTATTGAAAATATCTGATTCTCGTAAATATTGGAAAAGCTGGAGAGGAGGAATTTGTCCGACAATTGGCGCCGCCGCCGAGTCATTTACCATACTCATAGTCGAAAAAATGCGGCTTGACTGGTAAAACGTTCTGACCCTTTAATGGTACAAACTGAGAAGACAGTAGTACCAGTCTTCCCCTAATAACAGTTCAACAGTCGTCCACAGATGTAATTTGCGACAGAGACCAATTTACTTAGTTCGCCGCTCGAGTTACACCATCGAAGTTGGTTTTCCAGAAGTTGTAAGCTGGCTCCAGCGGAAAGAAAGATCCATACTGGCTATGAGCAATGAGCGATCGCTTGATGCTAGGGGCTTTAAGATCTGAACATCATACACATGTTGTTTATAGCTTCTTAACACCAAGTCCAGGTACGACAGAGTTGAGCGCGGCGTTATTCGAGTCGGCTGGTATAGGTGTTGCGCTGCTCCACTTTCAAGTACTAAGTTCACGGACTTTGTTTCGACCTCGCAATGTCCTGGCATAAGTTCAACTTCAGGCCAGCGTATCGGAGGACAATTGGAGTCACCCATGAGTAGAAAATTGGGACGACTCAGGTGGCTTCAGAGATGCGACAGTCAATCCAAACAACGGCTTGGGGGACTGCGATAAAGTGTACCCACGAGCAGCTCTCCGCGTCTGAGGTGGATCGAGCACCACAGCTGCTCACACAGGCCATCATCGCTTCTGTAGACGCTCAAAAGTATCCACACAGGGAGGACTGAATGTAGAGCAAGACGCCATTGTGGGCAGTCGATAGTCAATCGCGGCGGAAGCATGAGTAGCTACTGAGAAGGATTTCCTGGGTTATCCCCTCAGAAGTTAGCCACGTCTCAGCGAGTGCCATTACGTCTAGCCGCTCAGATGCAACAAAACGACAGAGTTCATCGCGCTTGCTCATAAGACCACAAATCTTGGTAAAGGCTACAACGCAGGACGTAGCAGTAACCACTGGGCATGCTTGGAGTTAAAGCAACCTGTTTATCCTGATTCGTGGAATCACAGAAAAGACCCGAAAATTTACGGTATGGAGATTCGCTTTCACATCACGATTTCATCTCTCCAGTTTCATGAATGCAGAATGGAGTCGCCTTCAATCGACCGGATCTAAGTCTGGATGAACATGGAGCGTCAGACCTTTCAAGCTATTTAATCGGGACAAGATCAGCCTCGGACTGACTTCGTACACATAGGTGATTCACACTAGTCGACTTTGTTGATCACCATTTTTCCATGACGGGTAATTTACCTCACTTTCAACCCGTCCTCTCCCATGTCGAGGATTCTATTTATTAGGCTCTGTAAAAACACGTCATAATTGTATGTATATGGGGAGTTGTATCACTGGCTTTAGGTGCGTGGAAGGTCA